ATATATTGGCTGTAATATATAAAATACTTATATGATTATACAATAATGTAATTACCACTAATTATAGATCAATTGCCAATGTGATGTTTAGATTAAACATTTTTTGTGTTGTAAGTATCACTTATTATTAGTGTATAATTGTCCATTAACAATTTATGTGATTAAAAAAGAAAAGTTACTTCGAACCTTCAAGATTGACGCTGAAGCATTTTTTGCAAACATGTAAATAATGTGCATTTTATTGTGGAAGTTATGCAAATTAACGATATGCTCTTTGTATAGAAACATATAAATAAATGCAGTAATTAATACATTAACTAACAGGATGTATTCATTTATTATAACATAAATGAATATTAATCATTAATGTTCATTAATCGTTCTCTTAAAATTCTCATCATGCAATCTTGTGATATTCACAAGAATTCTAATGGACATACAATCTTGTGAATATCACAAAATTGCTGTTTCGCAAAAATGTTGAAAGTATATATTTGGCAGTGTAAAATATTGTTTGTTAAAGTCTTATAAGGTAAAATAAAATTTAGCACGTTTTATTTTAATCATTTAATTCACTTACGCACTAGGATGTCAGATATTAAAAATTGAAAAATAATGAAAATTATTATGATGCAAACTGTTTAATTGAAAATATTTTATAATACAAACATCTGTTTGATTTAAAAAGATCAAAAAAACTGGAAATACGTAAATTGATAAATTAGTATCATTTATACTTTTCAAAGGTATTTAAATATTGTTCGTAGAGATAAACTATACATTACAATTAATAATTCGTGTGTAAAATATTTTATATAATAAATGAATTAATATCACTTATATTTCTCAAAGTTGTTTATTGTTCGTACGAATAAACTACATTGTAACTAATAATTCGTATGTGTAAAATATTTCTTATATACAAATATACAATATACAAAAGGCACAATATATCTACATTCTTTAGATCATGTACAATAAAAATACAGGATAATATAAAGTAAAATTCTGAAATGCAGAGTGTATACATAATAGATATTACAAAAATTTGTTATAAGTAATGGTTTCATAATGCAATAGAGCTACCATTAAGAAAATCAAATATATCAATCTGTTTTTGAACTGTACAGATTATATTTTGTATCAATATCCTTTCTGTACATTTAACTAATACATTTTCACATGATATACAATGTATGTAGTAGGACAGTATAGCTAAAAAGATACATTACATTGTTACAAAACACACAAGATACATACACGATTTACAGATGTATTCTATTTTGATGAACTATATATACAGGATATTCCATTAAACAATTTAGAATAGATTTGGAATTTTAATTTTTAACGGAAATGTCGAGGCACTGATAGTCTTTCTGTTACAAACAATTCAAAATCCAAGAATTTTTGGTAATTAAATTTAAAAAATAAAAAAATTAGTATATTATGGAAAATTTTATTTTATCCCATAAATAAATTTTAATAAAAGTTATATTTAAAGCTTGTCTTAAAATATTTAATATTAAATATTTAACATATTAAAATATAAAAAGTTGTAAAAAACGGTAATTTTTCAATTTATTATTATGTGTGTGAAGAAAAAGATTGATTTTAACTTATTAGAAGTTTTTTTATGGAAGAATTTATTAATTCCATAAAAATCTATAAATATTATCTGGTAATTTTAAAACAACCTGTATATTAAATTAAAACGTTGCATTTGTCCGTTTATGTGCTTATAATTTATCTATTATGTTACTGACAATATGTGATAACTCCCCAAGCAATGTTCTAAATATCTAGTTTATTGTTATGCGTAAGTCTACCAACATTAATGTCAAAAAATATTGCAAAGTTCCATGAATACATTTGTTTATTTTTTCAAATTATTTAAATTTCAAACAGAAAATATATCAAATAAAAAATTAATATAGATTACAATGTTAAAAATAATGTAAATTTTCGAAATTAATAACTTTAACTAGTACGTACATAAACATATACGATCCAGTGTTTCCTCATGTAATATTTTTTCAATTCTTTCACTCATAGCATGAAAAAAAAACAAATATATACTTTTTTAAAATTTATGTATGCATTTATGAATGTAGTTATGAATATAATTATGAATAAAAAATAAATGATAATGGTCATTTCCGATAATACTTAGTTTAAATACATTTTATACAATCTTTTGTTACGACTCGAAACATGCTAGATAAATTGAACATATTAAAATCAATTTTGAAATTTGAAAAATATTTTTGAACTTTTTAAAACATATTATCACATAGTCATACTCTCACAATCTATATTACAATAAAATGTCAAGTATACAGTCTGCATATGTATCATTACGTGTATATATTTTGTTCCATTTATAGATAGTTTAATAGAAAATATTTATGATACAGCTATCACATTCGTATATTAAAAATGTAGTCAAATAAAATAATCGCAGCGTACTATGTATAAGCGGACCGAATCAAGTACATTTTCAACATAACTCAACTTTTTAATAATCGTAACAAATTACTTATAGCTTGGCAAATTATTAAAAGAATTGTCTATTAACCCAGGTTGTTGGCAGCACATTGCAGATGAACTACAATTTTATATGTATATATGTCTATGTTTAATGCGAAAATAATCAATGTTATTTTTTTCGGTAAAAACAAGTTACATTGGTAGAATAATAAGTTCCAACAAGTATGATCCCTCACAGAACAGTTAATTTCATAATTGAAAATAAAATACAATTTAGACTTGTTGTTTTTTTTTTTTTTTTTT